TGTGTATTTATTCAGTTTCAATGTGGCCTGTACTTGTGCTTGCTGCCCACATGGACCCAGAAGGTTTGCAAAATCCCACCGAGGCTCAATTCCTCAAAGTTTCGCAAGTAGGGCTTCTGTCGAGCCCGCTTCTGATTTCTCAGGTGGGGATATAAAACCTTCGCCCAAAAAAGCCTTGGCTAATACTTCTGTTGTCGAGACGGGATGGCAGAACTCACGCAGGCAGCAGCGACGACGGCATCTTCGACGCTGTGACATGCCTCCAAAGGCTGAAGATGGGCACTGGAGCTCCCCGGAACTAAATCGTTTTACTTCTACTAGCTCTACGCCTGAAGCAAGTGTCTTTTAGTTGCTAATTTTCTTTACAAATTCTTCATCAAGCAACTACTCCAAATTTTATGATGAATCTTCAGAACCAGATTGCTCACCTTCGGACTGAGGTATTTATTACAATAGGATCCTTCTCGGATCGGACATAATTATTGCCATGAAACTTGAGTGCCAGAGCAAACATGCCATTCTAGTTGTTATAATGCTTCATAAATTGGCCACAGAGCCTTTTAAAATAAATAGGAGAATGCAGAATTCTGATAATTAATTTAATTTTTTATTAGGTTTTAAATCCTCACATTGCTTCAGCCTAAATATATTTCTTCTCCCCATATTCGGGATTCTTAACTAAGCTGCAGTTGCATTTTTCCACAAATTTAGGCCTAATAGAAATACATGCTGATTGGGTGGAATACTTTTGAAACTGATTGTGATTGGCATTATTTTATTACAATTATATTTAAACGGCGAAATGCATTGATGTATGCTTGATTATAGTCTGCTACATAATTAATTATCATATTGGCATAACTATTAGCCTAAGTTGGATGTGTTTGAGGAATTAGCTAATCCCTTTTTAGCAGTCCAATCACCTCAGAAATGAGACAAATTCGCAATCTCACCTCTGCCAAATATTATGATTATATGATTGGATTTTTGCATACTAAGCGGATCTCACTAGCGCAATAAGTCATTCTGTCTTTCATTATAATAGCCACTGATCTTTGTCGTACTTACGCCATATCGAGGAGAAGAATATAGGCACAAAGATCAGATAAATTGTTACCCTTTACTAGTAGCCGCATCCTTTCGCCATGTATAGTTGGTTTAAACTCGTTTGTGATACTACATCGCTCGCCTTCATTGATCAAGGAGTTTTATTATTGTCATTCAATCGGATTTACAGAGCATCCATTTGGAATATTGGAGCTAAAGAAAAAGATTTTTCAAAATGTTTTTTTATCTCAATCAAATGACGGGTTCACTTAGTTACAATGTGCACATCCTTACTG